GATTCATATCTCGACAGCCAATCAAAGTTTACTATTGATCCATATCTCGACAGCCAATCAAAGTTTACTATTGATCCATATCTCGACAGCCAATCAAAGTTTACTATTGATCCATATCTCGACAGTCAATCAAAGTTTACTATTGATCCATATCTCGACAGCCAATCAAAGTTTACTATTGATCCATATCTCGACAGCCAATCAAAGTTTACTATTGGTCCATATCTCGACAGCCAATCAAAGTTTACTATTGATTCATATCTCATTTTCAGCCAATCAAAGTTTACTATTGGTCATATCTCCGACAACCCAATCAGGATTTACTAGTGAGTTCATATCTCGACAGCCAATCAAAGTTTACTATTGGTCCATATCTCGACAGCCAATCAAAGTTTACTATTGGTCCATATCTCGACAGCCAATCAAAGTTTACTATTGATCCATATCTCGACAGCCAATCAAAGTTTACTATTGGTCCATATCTCGACAGCCAATCAAAGTTTACTATTGATCCATATCTCGACAGCCAATCAAAGTTTACTATTGATCCATATCTCGACAGCCAATCAAAGTTTACTATTGATCCATATCCAAGCCAATAAAGTTACTATTGGTCCATATCTCGACAGCCAATCAAAGTTTACTATTGATCCATATCTCGACAGCCAATCAAAGTTTACTATTGGTCCATATCTCGACAGCCAATCAAAGTTTACTATTGATCCATATCTCGACAGCCAATCAAAGTTTACTATTGATCCATATCTCGACAGCCAATCAAAGTTTACTATTGATCCATATCTCGTGTTGTGGAGTGTTGTGTTTCGTTCTGCCTGTCTCTCTGTCTCACTTTCCTTCTGTTTTCTCTTCATTTTTCTTATTCATTTCCTTTCAAACTCTCTCTCTTTCTCTCTCTCTCTCTCTCTCGGCACCATTAACCCTATAAGCCATAATATGTCAACACCACAAACAGGTTCACCCCATTAGCAGCAGGAGCTAGGTCTAGTGTTTCCCCTCCTACCTGAGAGAGACAGAGAGAGAGAGAGAGAGAGAGAGAGAGAGAGAGAGAGAGAGAGAGAGAGAGAGAGAGGTTCAGCTTTTATACTCACAACGTAGCAAAGTTTCAGACCAAAAACATGAACACATACGGTATATGACATAAAAGAATGGATGTTTTACGTGTAAGAGAAGCCTTTGTATATATGTATGTATGTATGTATGTATATATATATGTAGGTTCTTTTTCTATACAGTACGTTTAAAGCTATTATCTTATATATGAAAATTGCTTTAGCTTTTTAATGAAAGGTTATTATACACTTGATTGAAAAACTTATCTTTTATTAAATTTGTTTCTAATAATAACATTTAATCAAATTTCTTTTAACTATACTGTCAAGAGCCTAAAGTAAATTTTGTTCATAAAGTATAGGTTATATAGTAGAGATTATAGAAGACAAAGTTCATAGTAACCATTAAATACACAGTAATTCAGTGAGGTAATAATGCAGACTGAATACATAAATAACTTCATCAGTTATACAAGAACATAAACAATAACAAAAGTAAATGTGTTGTGCCTATTTGTATGTTATTATAGACGTTTAGAAGGTAAATAGAGAGAGCGAGAATAAAATAAAAATAATTTTGATTAGAATTTGGTTTTTTTTTCTGATTATAATCGATTAAAATAAGTTAAAATGGGTTGATTTTAATTATGCCAACTATGGTATGTATGTATATGTGTGTTTGTGTATTAATAATGATAATAATAATAATAATAATAACAAACATTGGCTGACCCAGAATAACATAGATCGATAGACGGAATTATGTATCCAACAATGAATTACCGAGAATAACACAGGCACGTAGACAGACAGACAGACACGCCAGAGACAGACAGACAGACACGCCAGAGACAGACAGACAGACACGCCAGAGACAGACAGACAGACACGCCAGAGACAGACAGACAGACACGACAGGTGGTCCACAAGAGAGATTCATGTTAGCAGGAATGAATCTTCTCTCTCTCAGTAGTAGGTAATTCTTTAAACACTAAATAGATTGCTCATATGTGGTAATTGGATACTTTACTTCACACTTGTAATGCGTCAAGTGTGTAAGATAGTTAGATAAGTGGTATATAGATAATGACACCGCCAGTTAAGAGTGAGTCATAAGGTAGACTGTTGTTTGGCTTGACATTCCACTGAGTAGAGAAACTTCCTCCTTTGAGAACCTAGTAGGAGCTTGACTCATAGATCTCTCTACTGGCGAGTGCGGGAATTACTCTATACGGGTGTGGCATACGTAGTCAAGTCCTTTAGCTGGACCCCAAAGAGTAAAGATCTACGAGCTCGCCTGACATAAGAGCCTGCCTCAGTTACAACGCGACTCACACCGAAAACTCTTCAGTCATAGAACAACACCCTACTGGGGACTCTAAATGACTACAAGCAAATTACCTTTTATGTGGGATTGTATACTGACCAGTTCCACTCCTCACAGGCCTTACAAGTAACAGGCCTACTTGTGTGTGTGTGTGTGTGTGTGTGAACCCCCCACTTGGCTCACAGCGAGAGGTTCACGCCTAAAGGTGAACTGCCCTAGACCCCCTCTGGCTGCCCTCACCTGGCTCCATGAACCGCGAGGTGTGTGTGTGTGTGTGTGTGTGTGTACATCAGCGGTCATAATGTTGGAACTCTTATAAAAGTTAATTGGGTTGAATGAAATATTTTAATAATAATAATAATAATAATAATAATAATAATAATAATAATAATAATAATAGACAATTATCACTTATTTGTATTATTATTATTACTATCTAACATGAAACAATAGGACAGGTTTGGTGCCTGTCTGTCTGTCTGCCTGTGTGTGTGTGCATCCGTGTATGTGGATGTATAACTGTGTGTATGTGTGACTGTGTGTGAGTAATAAGCAATGTACAAGGCTTTAACAAGGTCAGGTTTACAACATAGATGGATCCATATTTTCCAGGTATTGAGGTCAAACAATATACTGTAAGGTCAAAGGTCAGCCAACACTCCAGAAGGTGACGCACAGTGAGCTAGTGAACTGGGCCACAACACCACCCTAGATTTTCACGCCACAATACATTAATTTAGTGACGTCAAACATAGCATTCCTTGTTTATTGGCTCAATTTTAGTGACGCCAAAGACATAATTCCTTGTGATTGGCTCAGTTTTAGTGACGCCAAAGACATAATTCCTTGTGATTGGCTCAGTTTTAGTGACGCCAAAGACATAATTCCTTGTGATTGGCTCAGTTTTAGTGACCTAAAGACAGGATTCCTTGTGAATGGTTCAATTTTAGTGACGGCATAAGCAGAAGCCTTTGTAGCCAACTGGTTAAATTTTCGTGACATTAAAGACAAACACCTTGTAATTGGTTCATATTTTGGTGACGCCACAGGCAGAAATCCTTATGATTGGTTGATATTCTAGTGACGTTAATACGAGAAATCCTTGAGGCTGTTATATTTCAGTGACGTCAGAAGTGGAAGTGTCACGTCTAATTGGTTAACTTTAATAACATTGCTGCCGTTACAGTCGACTTATTGTAACCGATAGCTACATTAAAACATTGTGTAACGAGAAACTACGATACAGTGTGGTAGGTGTACTCTCTCTCTCTCTGTTAGGCCAAAAAACTGGTAACTTGGTGATAGTGTTTGATGGGGAGCTGACAACATACATACATACATACATACATATATACATACATACAGACATACATACATACGGAGAGACGACTGACAGAGAGACAAACAGACGAACACAACTTCATATGACGTGGAGAAACATGGAGAGAGAGAGAGAGAGAGAGAGAGAGAGAGAGAGAGAGAGAGAGAGAGAGAGAGAGAGAGAGAGAGTTAAGGTAAGAGAAAGGAGCTTATTACAGGTGAGAGACGGGGTGGCCAGGTGTGGCTTTGTCTTCCTTATTGTAGTCACACACACACACGCACACACACAAAACACACACACACACACATGCTGTATGGCTTCATTACAGGGTTGGCCATAATTATAATGTACAACACAATCATTGTTTAGAAAAATAACTATATATCCCTGTCCTTTGTATTATTATTATTATTATTATTATTATTATTATTATTATTATATTATTATTATTATTATTATTATTATTATTATTATTGTTATTATTATTATTATTATTATTATTATTATTGTTATTGTTTATTATTATTATTATTATTATTATTATTATTATTATTTTTATTATCATTATTATTGTTATTATTATTATTATTATTATTATTATTATTAAGATAGATTATTATTATATTATTTTTTCTTCTTTTTTTATTATCATTATTATTATATTATTATAATTATTATTAATTAGTTAACCGAGTTACCTGTGAGTTATTCGGTGAAGGTAATGAAAAATATTGATTATTTCATTCATAACGGGAGTGTAAATAATAATAATAATAATAATTAACGGTTTATTGAAAGAGCTTGGCAGCCAGAAGGCTGAAAATATACAGTTACATATTTGGGGAATGGGTTACGAATTACAAATAATATACAAGTGACATAAGTGACACAAATAAGACATATAATAACTAGATGGGGAAAAGCTCGTATGTATGTATGTGTTTGTGTATATGATTATGTGTATTTATGTCTGTCTGTTTGTCTGTCTGTATGTATGTCTGTTTGTCTGTCTGTATGTATGTATGTATGTATGTCTGTATGTATGTATGTATGTATGTATGTTTGTTTGTAATGTATGTGTGTTTGTATGTATATGTCCATGAATTTGGAATGTAAGCCTACACATGTGTACATGTGCACATGTGCACATGAGAACCTATTTACATGAATGTACCATTCTTAGAGCTCACACGATCATGTGGGCGTGGGTGCACATGCGCTACACCTGTCTGTGTGTGTATCTGTACGTATGACGCTGTGAGCGGAAACTGTGTGTTCTCACCTGATAAGAGTGTAGCCTCGCTCACACCTCTCTTAACACAATCTTCTCGTGTAATTATTCAGTACTGTTTAGTTCTGGTATTTACACCACTATCATCACATATTACGGAAAATTATAAAAATTATTTTATCTCCGTATTTCTCTCAGCACAGTATGACCCTGATCACTGTCCGCGTAAATCCCGGTTATGTATGGACCACTCGTACGGTTAGATCATCATGGAGAATCGTAACGTCACCAACTGGTTTCGAGAACCGGTTTCAGTCTTAAAAGCAGAAAAGAGAGTGAGAGTGCCGCGTGTAATCACCACAGAGTCCGCGCAACAACTACCACTCGTTCCCGGAGTCGCTCGGCCCAGACACCACCAGCTCCCCTCTTGCGCCTCGCTGTTGCCAGATACCTCTCCTCTCTCACCATCCCTTTTATATAATTTTTAAATGCTTTCAGCACTCATTAGCCTCTAACTCGGTCCATCTGCACACCACTCACTCAGCATCGATTACCACCTCGCCCTACAGCTAGACCCTCCCTGGTTAGTCTTCGGGAGTGATAGATAAATTTAGTGAGGTTTTTTTTTTTAGTGGGAAGAGAGGCAAGAGATGGGGCGGGTTGGTTGGCGGTGAGGTACCCAGCCATGCAACAGTGTCTCCCCCGCCCACCCGCCCACCCACCCACCCGTACCCTTGTCATAATACTCAAACTGTTAATGTCACGCAAGTCAACGGGAACAGACTCGCGCCGAAACAGTCTCCTCCACCTCCTCCACCACAGTACAAATGTCAAGTTGATCACCTTACAACTTGAGCCAAAACGGGTGATAAAAACACTACGACAATAATTATTACCCTAACTTAAATGTCATACCCAGTGTCCCTAGAGTCTTACCAATCCTCCGAGCCTAGTGACAGGACATACGAGTAACTCTAGGCTTAAACAGGCGGAGATGATCAGTACACACACACACACACACAACTTAGTTATTACCACCACAAATCTGAAGATATGTTTAATTTTCGATAAGTTACGACATTATCAATATACTGTATATTGTTTATGTCTACACTAACTTACTTTCAATATTGTCTACAGTCTTTACACTAACTCTGTCCTAAACTAACCTAAACTAAACTACCCTATCGTAACATGACCTAACCTAACTTAATATTATGTCACTTAACCTAAACAATCCTGACAGCTTTTAACCTAACATAGTACAATATAACTTAACCTAACCAAAATCCCTCTATATAACATTAGGGAATCTACTTCAACACACACACATACAACTTATCTTAATTTGAAATGGTTGTTGCCTAGTGTACAGACTGACCTTAAAATATACGACATTTTAAATCGTCTAAATTACAACAGCAGGAGTTATATAAAGATTGCTGCTTAATGTGAACACTTTCCACCTCGTTAGCCCTACTTGAAACACCCTGTAGTTTGTTGAACCACCTAATTAGTTATACAAGGTGCACAATTTTCAGTTAGTCTCTCTCTCTCTCTCTCTCTCTCTCTCTCTCTCCCTTCACTCCCTCTCTCTCTCTCTAATATTTGATGACCGGTGCTCGTAATAATCAAGAATACCCACATCAGACCTGTGTTGTTGAAGTGTAATAATACAATATAACATTCTCTCTTACAAACACACACACACACACACACACCCACACACAGACACACACATTATAACTAAAGGAGTGAAGGAGTATCATTATAATCATCTATTTCTAAATACCATACAACAGTAATTATTAAGCCAACATAATTATCCAGTCTGTTTACAATGTGTCGAGTATCTTATGAAGATTCCCCAAATATATTTTCCCTAACTCTGTAATAAATAAATAAATAAATAAATTAATTAATTAATTAATATATAAATAAATTAGGTTAGGTTAGGGTGGTTATCTTACTGCGAAATAAGCGGGGGGTAATCTTCAGGTGATCTCTTAAATATTGTCTGAGAAAAATCTTATAGTGTTTTGATATTTATTTGTAATTATTAGGTTAATGTTTTAATCCCCCAGCTCATGACTTATTCAATAACTTTTATTAAGAGTAACATTGAGACTCTATCTTATTATTTATTTACGTTCTCCTCCCACGCTAATATAAACACTATTTTATAACTGAACGGTGTCTGGTGTGGTGTGGAGTTTGTCTAGTGTTTAATTTCTCTATCCACTTCGTCTCTTATCATATCCTAACTGATAAAACAGATATGAACATTAATTTCTCTTATGGTGTGGGACCTGGGATACCCTGACATGTTCATTTTGGGTGAATGTGGAGTCAAACGGGACTGAACCAAGAGCCTAGTTTGGTATATTTCAACTTTTGTTTCAATCCCATGTGTTTTTCGCCTCCGTAACATCATCTATCTATCTATCTATCTATCTATCTATCTATCTATCTATCTATCACAAACACAGGAGAGGGATAAGCCTATTAACTTTACTTGGCTTCCGCAATACCTGAAAACAATTCCATTTTTTTCTCACCAAATAAGCCTGATTGCATCCCAGTCTGTAACTGAGTATCACAATACACGCCAACATTCTCTCTGATAATTCATAGCGAGAGTAAACTTGTCGGAGGTGAATAAGAGAATAGAAGACTGATAAATGAAGAGATGGCGTGGCCAGAAATATTTAATGGGTGGAGGAAGGACACGCGACCAATATAAGTTAGATATCTTCACAAAAAATGCACAACTTGTCACTTTAAATCATTTATTCATATATATATATTAAAGTGTTTTTCTTTGGTGTTATTCAGACATAATTTATAATAAATCACAGGGTTCAACAACCATTAGCTAATTACATGTATAGTCCACAAATTAGTGATGGTACAGCAGCATACATTAACTAACACATAATGGAAATATATTCACACTGATTTAGTAACACAGTTGGTCTACACTTCAAATAATAATTAATGTTACTCATATTTTATAACATTTTTATCTTTATCTTTTTACTTTGAAAAGGTTTATGGAACTAAAAACGTTAAATACGTAATGTATTAATTTTAACTTAATATAAACGTTAAGCTAAAAGAATAATACATAATTTCAAGTATTGAGGACTGAACGCTTCACTACACTTCACTCAAAAGATGAATATTTCCTCTCAAGTAAAGTAATAACTAACTCCTACACTCGAGTTAAAACACATAAATAAAAATGTTCAAAATACATCACCGTATCTAAGGTCCACTCACGACCCAGCATGACAAGAGGATATGGAGAAACATAGAATCCCATGACAAGCTAATATAACAAGACCAATCATGAAGATAAAAATGACCTTTAACGAGTAATTGGTGTGTGTGTGTGTGTGTGTGTGTGTGTGTGTGTGTGTCCTCCCCACCATCCCCTTCCCTTACAGCCACAATAAGTTCGTTCAAAACAGCCTTAAGTAATTATATTAATTAATTTGGTGTTCAGATGTTGAATACACGTTCATAACTTTTAGCTAACTCTCCCCTTTATATATATACAAAAAAAATGCTCCTCTCCGTTTTCTGTGATGGCCATGAATACCAAGTACCCTTAAAGTTACCATGACGACCCAAATCTCTCTCTCTCTCTCTGCTGCACAAACACCTATTATCGCGTCAATATTAATTACCATGTTCATTAATTCTACTTATCCATCTGAATCCTAAAGAAGATAATCGTAAACATATGCTGACGATGTTTTTTCTTTCCGTGGGTACGAAGTCACAACTGTTTTCCATGGTTAAACATTATGTGGTATTATGTTGATGTTTCTGAGTAAGTTTACTGAACCTGACGTCTATATCGTGAATTGCAATTAATTATTCGTAATCATGAGCCGTCCACTGTGTTCCAAACTGAATCACCGAGTGCAATAATTGAAGGGCCCTACTGGATATAAGCATCTCATGGAGGCTTTATCGGCTATCCTTGGGCAAATTCACTAAATACTAATTATCATTATTATTATTAGCCCAAATATTAAACCTTTGAAGGCAATGCAACTCCTTGAAGGCAACCATTGAATCCTTGGTAGATGATAATTTAATTTAAACTATTGTCCTCAAGAAGTTATAACCACTACTTCTACTCATACTTCTATTGTAAAACTATAACTAATTAAAGTCATATTACACAACTAAAAGATCAATAAACCCCGACATTAACATCCAGTTAGGGTAGTCATTAGGACGTTAGGTACTGTACGTAAATTTGGCTAAAGAATTATATATCAGAAATACAAGTATATTCAGTAAAGGTGTATTGTGATTTAGTATCATGGCGTTAATACATCGACAATTCAAGAGATCGGGTACTAATTCAGAAAACATCGCTAATATAATACCACAATATAGCCTACTGTAAATGTTTTAGTTTAATAAAGGTCTATACAATCACAATTTCTTTAAGATTTGGCTTATACACGTCAAAAGTCATCATTATTATTACGACACATCAATAACTTCAAAATGTAACTGTCTAATGATAAGTTTAACGAAATACAACCCAATCTAATATACTATAGGACTAGCCGTGTGGTTGTCTGTCTGTCTGTCTGCCTGTGTGTGTGTGTCTGTTCTGGGCAGCCGAAACGGCGCAATCGTTTTTCATCAAGCTTGGTGGAAAAATTGCAAAAAATTCGTAGAGTGGAACAAACCTGGTCCCATGTCGATGGTTTCTTTAGGAAGGCATTAATTAACCATTTTATTTACGCTGGCAAAAGATGTCGCTGTACTCTGTCAACCGACAGGACGATTGCAGTTATTGTACGGCTCCCTCCTCCTCCCCCCACTTTTTCTCTTAGCCTACTTCCTTTTTAATGTTGTTTGGATTAGTAAAGGAAGGAAGTGTGTGTAGTTTTAAAAATGTTCAAAGGAGGGCCCACCAGACTGGTACCTGCACTTCGGCACCTCAGCTACCCCTGAGAGATTGGAGTGCCTGAACTTGCCTAGCTTATACTACAGACGGGCAAGGGGAGACCTAGTTGAGGTGTATAAGCATCTCAGGGGGCACTACTCAGTCGAGTGTCCTTACTTGGAGCTGGCGGACGCTCGCCCCACAAGGGGTCACAGCTCAGATTGAAGAAGCCGCAAGTCCAGAAAACTGTGAGGGCAAACTTTTTCGGAGTGAGAGTTGTAGAACTCTTGGAACAATCTACCAGAGAGTGTTGTGACGGCACCGAGTGTGAGCTCTTTCAAGACATAGGCCTAAATAAACACACACACACAAACACTTTCTATATAGCCTATATAGGCCTTCAAGCAGCGCAACTGAAAGTGATTCGTATGCACAGGTCGGCCGCATAATTAATTTATGTAGTTAAAAGTGTGT